CCTGATCTCATACCATGTTCTGCCTTTTACTTTCGTCTCCATCCAATTTCCACCCCACCCTCTCACATCCATTGCCCCATCGTCTGAGCTTCTGACTTTCTGCAGCCTTTCTACTGCTACTCCTTGGCTCCTTCTTACTTCAGCTTTCAGCCACACCCCTGATCTTATGGTAAGTAAGATCTAATACGGTGTGCCCACTACGGCTGGATCGGGCCGATCGCCCGACTTGATCGCCTGAAACTGAAAACAAACACGTTTGTTTTTGAGGCGATCGAGTCGGGCGATCGGCCCGATCGGCCGATCTCAGTCGTAGTGAGCACCCCGTATAACACCTACCCTTCTCGGAAAGGGGTGAAAAAAAAACTTAGAGGCCCCGTGTGCAAATTGCGAACTTTAAAGATCGCTTGGTTGTCATACAATCGATAAGAGTAGGCTTCGGCCGCCACCCGGGAAAAAGCGAAATTTCCTATCTATCTATCTATCTATCTATCTATTTATCTATCTATCTATCTATCTATCTATCTATCTATCTATCTATCTATCTATCTATTTATCATGTGTGTTTATGTATATACTGTATATCCCCTATCCTAACCAATAAGCCATGACCCTACCCCTAACCAATCCTGGACCCTAACCCTAAGCTTACCCCTAAACTTAACCATATTAAATGCTCGTCCAAATGTAGATCTAAGCGTAAGTCTAGTCCAAAGTCAAAGTGTAATTCTTAGCCTAAGCCGAGGCTTCGTTGGTAATAAGACAGCCTTGGCATTAGTCCAAGTTTTTAGCGAAAGCACAAGCCGAAGTCTGAGCAATCAGGGGAAGTGATAAAAACAATATTTTCGTATTATTCATTTCAATTTCTACTTCCCTTGAAATGCAGAATAAAATGAACAAACCTTTTTTCTTTCCTTTGTCAAGAGATGAGATGATGAAGAAGAAGAGAGAAGGTGCCAGAGAGACAGGGACAAAGAGAGAGAGAGAGAGAGAGAGAGAGAGAGAGAGAGAGAGAGAGAGAGAGAGAGAGAGAGAGAGAGAGAGAGAGAGAGAGAGAGAGAGAGAGAGAGAGAGAGAGAGAGAGAGAGAGAGAGAGAGAGAAAAGAGAGGGGTTACATGCATGTTTACTTGTAGGGAGATAGAAACAAAAAGACTGAGAAAGGAGGAACAAAGACATGGAGACAGAGACAGATGATGGGACAAATAGATAGATAGATAGATAGATAGATAGATAGATAGATAGATAGATAGATAGATAGATTAATTGATAGATAGATAGTGACTTTTATTGAAAGGGCTTGGGTTAACGAGTTGAACGTTGTTTACCACACACGCTATTACTATCATAAGGTCATCTCGGAGCGGAGATAGATGGCATACCTTTGGCGCATTACTTTGGACACAGCGACTCGCCTACAAATGATCCTGCAGGGGAAACTCATGAATTACTGTCGTTTACATTATGGAGTCGAGAGTGTTGGCGGTTGAGAGGGGACACATTTACCAAACATCATTCATTTTAAAAAAAGCAGCCGCTAGCCTTTAATAAAATTTTATGCCTATAAACTTAGATTTATGAAACGCAAGAATATGCTTTTATTCCATACCGCCTCCATAACTCAATTCTCGGACCCGGCAGTGAATGCGTTAATAGTTGTAATTCTCAAACTACTGTAGGATTGTGAGTGGAAAGATGTATTATGTAAATTTTACACGGGTCCTGACACATCATTAGTGGGTGGCGTTGGTGGCCTAGTGGTTAGATTATTGGACCTGTAATCGTGAGATTGCAGGTTAAGGGGATCGAGCTTCAGCTTGGTCCGACATTGTGTCCTTGGGAAAGGCACTTTTCACAATTTCGCATTTCACTTGGCTTTTTCGGAGGTGGATGATAAACTCGGAGGACCCACCTCTTAAATAAACTGACAGCGCTGATAGGGGGGTTAAACCTATGCCGTTTCAATATTTTTCATTTCACATCATTAGCCTACCTTTCTTTAAACTAGTTACGGACAGGACCGGCTATTTCGGACTGGACCGGCTATTTCGGACTGGTCCACAAGTAGACCCGGTAATTAGTAATTTAATAAATCGACGGCTGAGCACAAGAAGTGACTATATCCACTTTTCGCAGATTTGAGAAAAACGAGTTTGAAATTTTGACGATATTGAAATCTCTGTAACATAGTAAAAAAACAACCCGAACAAAAAGTTAGTATCTTGATACGGCTTAGATCTTTACAGAAGTTAAAGAGCGGTTTAAAATCTCACTACCCGTATCGATTACTCCATTTCGACTGCGGATGTACTCACTTCTTGAGCTCAGCCATCGAAATGTGAGTAGCAATAATAAATTACTGTGACCCGTGGTGTGTTGACAATTATAAATATAAGAAACAAAGTTGTCTGTCTTTAAAATCCAAATCAACATTGACTGGCCCAGCAGGAAGCAATAGCTCAATTATACTTTTTTAAACCCATAGAATTACTCTGAGGGACACAATATGCTTCAGTGTCAGTTTTAGTCTCACTTTTGACAGCTGGAGTATTTTAACCGATGTTACGCATTTCCCTCTCGATTTGGCCTAAAGGATATTCAGAATCCCTTATGAATCAGGCTTGCGACTTTGATGAGCTTACCTACAATGCTTTTTTTAAAACAGCTGATATTTCGTGGCACAAAGGTAAAATGATGTCTCTGGTAACGGATGATTCAATAAAAAAGGCCGGTAACTTTGACATGGCCAGTGGTCTGTAGTCAGCTCATCTCTCTCTCTCTCTCTCTCTCTCTCTCTCTCTCTCTCTCTCTCTCTCTCTCTCTCTCTCTCTCTCTCTCTCTTTATATATATATATATATATGTATATATATATATATATATATATATATATATATATATATATATATATATATATATATCTCCCCCTCTCTCTCTCTCTCCAACAGGGGGTCGGTTGACTAATGACTATAATGACCACTTGCCTAGGGCTATAATTACGACCTGGCGTACAGTACACATTGATTGTCTTATGCAAACCTGGCAACTGATTTACACTACCCGAAAAACTGACTTGAGCTACAAACAAAACTTACTTACAGTTTAGTCCATACATACTCTGACTTAAGCTACAGAAAAAAAAATGCTTACAGTATTCCGTACATACTCCGACTTACGCTACATGAAAAACTTACTTACAGTAGCCATACATAAGTTCAATTTGCAACATATATATCCCTGTAAATTGGTTAACTCAAGACGAAAAAGTGAATTTCGATAGCCATACATAAATTGACTCATGCAACGCGAAAAAAGTAATCTGACTTACTGCAGTCCATATACGTCAACTGATGTACAGTAGCCATACGTACATTTACTCACAATATATACATTGTACTCATATACTGACATATCGTACATTTCGAGTATAAACTGACCAATCCAGCAAATTCGTAAACTGACTTATAAATAAACATAAAAATATAAACTAACCAATTAGAGATGTAGTTCTATATTTATTGGTGCTTAACCAGCAGCCGTATTTTTCTGAGTGCTCTTGGGTTTGCTGGAATTTAGCATTGTGCATTTTAAAGTGCATAGAGCAAGCTGTGGATCGTGGCTCCATGCGATTTATAGACGCAAGTATTATGGTCATCAAGATTTGTTTGTTTGTTTGTTGCTGTTGTTATTATTGTTGTTGTTGTTATTATTATTATCATTATTATTATTATTAATATTATTATTATTATTATTATTATTATTATTATTATTATTATTATTATTATTATTATTATTATTATTATTATTGTTGTTGTAGTTGTTGTTGTTGTTGTAGTTACCATTATTATTATTGCTGTTGACTTTTCTAATACAGTCAAGTTGGGTGAAAGCCAGTGGCTCAGTGGGTATCTGCGGGTGACCCTGGATCGAAACCAGAATGAGAGGTTCCTGAACTTGAACTCAGGTTGATCCTGTTGGAGATGGGCGTTGTGGATGATTAGCAGGTGCTCTGGTGTGGTTTGTTCCTTTTTCCGCATCACATGTCTATCGTCATCACCTAGGCTCCTTTTTAATTCTATTTTATTTAATTTTTATTCTATTTAATTGTATGTTACTCTCCAGTAAAATCTTAAATATTCGGCAATTACGTTACCTGTTTGAGTTGCAAGTGTCGTGAAACCCTTGCTAAAACTTAAGTAGACTTACGTTAGATTCGGAGGTTCAGCTTAAATTCAACATCGAGTCACAAGTGAGAGTTTGACGGCATCGATATGCATAATTGATTACTGGTAGCTTCAATAGGGACTGCCTCTCTATTTATGCCTGGGGGTTTCTTTTGCATGATTTTTTTTGTAGTAGTTTTTTTTCTAGCGCGCACGTGTGTGTGTATGTGTGTGTGTGTGTGTGTGTGTGTGTGTGTGTGTGTGTGTGTGTGTGTGTGTGTGTGTGTGTGTGTGTGGGAGGGGGGGTGGACGGTCTGGAGGGGGAAAGTCTTGTTTTGTTTTGTTTTTGGAAAGTTATTTTCTCTTTGAAAAAGCGATCAAACCAATGGGCGGGAATAACCAGGATGACTTTAGACTAAGATACATCCAGTTAAGGTGCTCGAACAGGAGTGGTTTGCATCACAGGCAGGCACAATTCTCACAGAGCTCACGATCGACGCTCCTCAGCAACAAGATGAGCAACATTCTTTGTTAGAGTAAAGAGACGCACATCGGCAAGATAACGACCGTTCAGTGCTGGAAGAAGCAAAACCGACATAGAGGAACGACAGAGGGAAACAACAGCTAGAAGTAGGACCAAACAGCGGTACCCTCCAACCACCAGCAAAGTAGAACAATATCATTTCAACTCATATAAAACACAATGACAACAACAACCACAACAACAACAACAACAACAACAACAACGACAACAACAACAACAACAACAACAACAACAACATGCCACAGGGGCATATCATGACCTGGAAATATTCAGTGGACATTGAGTCGACAACTAGGGATAAATACTTCCTTCTCGGCACTTTAACCTTGCCAGTTTAATGCACGAAATATTTAACCGAGAGGACATTCACTTGAATTTAACAGAAAATAGCATTCTTCTTTTGTATGTAACTTAAATGAAAAGAATACTTAAAAAAAGAAAAATTCCACAGTAAATGGCATGCTAAACAAAAAAACAAAAAAGACTTTAAAAAATAAGCTATTGTAATATGATATTTCACAATTGGACCGAGTAGCATGAAATCCTGGAACGACAGTCATAGAAAAGGGGGTAAATAAAATTGAACATAAAAGACGTTGTGGGGTGTTCTAATAAACAGCGGTTACAAGATAGATCTTTGTTATCTTCATCAATGCTCCGGCGACCATGTCTAAACGAGATTTTCTTCTGAGGTCTCCGTTGGCATGACGTCAGTCGAAGGGGCTACTCTTCCAGGCCCCAGAACGACGTCCAAGAACGTCCCCGCCTCTTCGGCCGCCATCTAGGTTGTAAGAGAAGAAACGAAATTGGGGTAGGAGAATAGGAAATCATTAGAAAAAGGCGATAGCTTTGGTGTTGTAGAATAGGTCGATAGATCGGCGGATGGGTGGGCCGGAGGTTGGATAAGGGGATGGATGGGCAGGACATACAGGCAGGACAGTAGGTCAGCGGGCATGGAGGCAGGCAGACGGTTAAATAGATAGGTAGGTAGGTAGGTAGGTGGGTAGGTAAGTAGGTAGGTAGTTAGGTAGTTAGGTAGGTAGGTAGGTAGGTAGGTAGGTAGGTAGGTAGGTAGGTAGGTAGGTAGGTAGGTAGGTAGGTAGGTAGGTGAGAAGGTCAGTAGGTATGTAAGTAGTAATGATGGTATTTGGGTAGATAGGCAAGTAAGTAGGCAGATAGGCAGGGAGGCATTCAAGAATGCACATAATAAGCAGAAAAACAGATAGGTAAGGAAGAAAGCTTGTAGGCAAGTAATAGGACAGGCCGGTTGGCGGACAAAAAGGCAAGACGGTGTACAGACAGGTAGATGGGTGGACAGGTAGATAAGAAGACGGCCCTGCAAGTGGGAAGGAGGACCTGTAGGTAGATCGTCGGAAGGTAGGTTGGAGGGCATGCGAGAAGGTAGGCAGAGAGGCAAGCAGACATGTAGGTAGACGGCTTAGGTTTAGAAAGTTTTACGACACTTTCAAAACAATAAGGCCATTTAAGTTCCGAAGATCAGAGGTGTTACAAGAAAGAAACAAACACATGAAAGAAGGAAAAGAGATCAATACGACAGATGTTTGGTAGGAAAGAAGGAGAAAACTACTCCAGAGCACCCGCCAACCACTCACGGTAGGTAGACGGACAAGAAGTTCTGTCGGTAGGAAGATAAGTAGGTAATGGTTATGTAGATATGAAGTTAAGTTTGTAATGATGATGATGATGATGATGTTGATACATGTAATGAAGGTAAAGTTTTAATGACCAATTTATATATCTGCTGATTTGATAAACAAAACAGAAGAAATAATGTTTATATGGACTTGTTGCTTCTGCTATGACGAATGAGCCAAATTCTAGCAGAAAAAGTATTCCACTTTAAAAAAAGGATAAGCCTTAAAAATTGATATCCAGTTGTGGATGTGCGCAGCTGGTTGGCTTCTTTTTTGACTTCAGCATAACGTCTTAATTGTGAATCCTCGTGTATATACGACGAATCCTCAATCATCCAGACAGGAAGGTAGACGGCGCTACTTGTAGGTTCTACTTTTTCACTTTCTCTCGGTTGTTTCTTTCTGTCTGTCTTACTCCTCCCCAGCAATAAATGACCCATATTGTTTCGAGTTGCTTTTCTTTACTCAAACAAAACATAGTGGGTAGTTGGTGGGTGCCTTGGTGTAGCTTGTTTCTTTTTTTCCTCTCAAGCATCTTTTGTCCTTATCTCCCCTCCTTTTTTCATGTTTGCTATTCTCTTGTAACACTAGCACTCTTCGTCACTTGACAACTTTCTTGTGTTGCAGGTGCTGCGAAACGCTTACTGAACCTCTAAACTCAAACAAAGGAAAAGCAAAAAATACAAACAAACAAAACAACCAAACATCCACACAACTGTCAGTAGCTACACAACAACACAGCATTACCGAGACGACGTTTCTGTAGTTTTCAGCGATCTGGTTCAGGATTGGCTGAGCGAGTTCCGCATCTCCCCTGAGGACCGCGAGTGTGTCTTCCGGTCCGCCGGCGGTCGTTGTGAGCAGGGCCACGAACATTGACCTCGGCACTCGCCGACTGGCTACGTCGGTGAAGTACTCAGCTGCGCGGAATGCGGTATCTAAACGACAGACAAGTTCGCTTTTGAGATTAATCATTTTAGAATCCCTCCCCCCCCCTCCACATCCATATCATAGCCTTTTAAAGATTTTAAAACCCCCACCGCCCCCTCCCCTCCAAAACAACAACAACAAAAACAACAGCAATAACAACAACAACGACAAAAACAACCAAATCCACCCCTAGTTACAGCATGAAGAAAATGAGTATTCAATCTGAGAGTACGAAAGTTACGTGTATCGAGTATATTCCGCCTCTCAGCTAGAATATTGTTTCCCATAAAGCCTGGGTCCACTTCCTAAATCAACGAAACCAATGCTTTTACCAATCACTTTGTATCCAAATTTCCCCATTTTCATAATCTGTTTATACCCAAATGTCTACACCGTTTTGTTTTACTTTAACAAAAACTGCCCCATGTTCATAGTCTAATTTTATCCAGTTTTCTCCATCTGATAGTTTTAACACCTTCCCCCCGGGCGGTGCTACTGACTGAAGTGTCTTTAGACCGTTCCTAAAGGGGGACATTAACCATGTTCTTATGCACAGTAGAATTGTAATTGCAAATGGGCTGATTCATCAATGCCATGCTTATAACTGTGCCTGAACTGCAACAGGGAACTGCTGCTTTTTTCTCTAATCCTTTCTATCGTCATTTTTCCTCTACTTCTTTTGTATGTTTTAACACACTCTTGTGACCCGCTATTTCCGGGGTGCATTGATAGTCGAAGCAGACTTTATGCTGTTGAAGCTAGAGAGGTGAACAGAGTAAGCCTGATTCCCTGTAAGGACTTATCTGTTGACATCCACCCCTTGGCGCCCATATGACCTAATACAGTTGCGAGCGCCGTAAAACCTCTACTAAAACAAAATAGTTTTGACTTACTCAGATTTCTCCACACTTTATAGTCATCTCTCCACTTTTTATACTTAATTTGATCCAAAGTTTTCCATCTTACCTGAAATAGCCTCAGGAGGTATGTTGTCAAAAGTTACCCTGAGCACACAATTGAGCGTCTCTGCCATGGACCCGTGCCACATTTTACTTAAGTCCCCCCTACCTTAGTAGTTTACTTTAACGAAAGTTTTTCTATCTTTATAGTTAACTTTTACTCATATTTCTTCACCTTTACCTTTTCCTTTAACAAAAGCTCTCCAGCCTTCATACTTAATTTGACCCAAATTCCTCCACCTTTAAAATTAACGTTTAATACAAATGTCTCCTTTTTTATAACTCACTTTAAAATAAAAAATCAATCTTTATACTTACTTTTACCCAATTTTACTATCTTATCTGAAACAGTCTCAAAAGGTATGCTGTCAAGGTCTCCCTGAGCACACAGTAGAGTAGCTTTGCCATGAACCTCTATAACTTTTACCCAAACTTCTTCATCTTTATAAATCACTTTAACAAAACAATCAATCAAACAACAAACAAACAAACAAACAAACAATCCACTTTTTACCCCAATTCTGATACATAATTGTTTCCATCTTACCCGAAATAGCCTCAAAAGGTACGCTGTCAAAAGTCTGTGTGAGCACACAGTTGAGTGTCTTTGCCATGGACGTCTACCACTTTTAACGAAACTTCTTCATCTTCATATTACCTAAAAAAAAACCCCATCTGACAACAAACAAAGAAACAAACAATCAAACAGACTACCCAGTTTTATACTCAATTATACCCAGATTTCTCCATCTTACCAGGAATAGTCTCAAAAGGTCTGCTGAGCACACTGTAGTGTCTCTGTCATGGACCTCTACCATTTTTACCCAAACTTCTTCATCTTTATAGATCACTTTAACAAAACAATAAATCAAACAAACAAACAAATTGATCTATTCAATATTTCTACCATTTCTACTTCATTGTTTCCATCTTACCAGAAATAGCCTCAAAAGGTATGCTGTCAAAGGTCTGTGTGACACACTGTTAAGTGTCTCGGCCATGGATCTCTGCCACTTTTACCCAAACTTCTTCATCTTTATAGATCACTTTAACAAAAAAATCAAACAAACATACAAACATGCAAACAAACAAACAAACAAACAAAAAATCCAAGTTTTACACCAGTTCTGCCACCCTCTTGTTTCCATCTTACCCGAAATAGCCTCAAAAGGTACGCTGTCAAAGATCTGTGTGAGCACTCTGTAGGGTGTCTTTGCCATGGACCTCTACCATTTTTCCCCAAACTTCTTCATCTTTATTGATTACTTTAACAAAACAATCTAACAAACAAACAAACAAACAATCCAATTTTTACACCAGTTCTGATACCTATTTGTTTCCATCTTACCCGAAATAGTCTCAAAAGGTATGCTTGCCCTGGACCCTTGCCACTTTAAACCAAACTTCTTTATCTTCATATTACGAGTACAAAACAAAACAAACAAACGAATAGATCTATTCAATATTTCTACCATATCTACTTAATTGTTTCCATCTTACCCGAAATAGCTTCAAAAGGTATGTTGTCAAAGGTCTGAGTGAGCACACCGTTCAGTGTCTCGGCCATAGTTCCCTGCCACTCCCTGAACCTCCTCAGTCCCTGATTCAGGCCCTGGACAGCCCCACGGAGAAAGTTACTGCCCTCCTGACGCTCTCTCCTGCCAAAGGATGGTGACGATGCGTTAGAGATTTGTGTAAAAATGTTTGAGAGTGTTTGTTTGTTTGTTTGTTTGTTTGTTTGTATATATATATATA